AGAAAGAACACTTTTAATGTGAAAGTACATATAGTTAACAATTTTCCTTTTTGTGGGGAAGTCTTAATTTATGATTGATTGGGCATGCTCTAGCTGTTGCAGATTAGATATCAAAGGAATTGGTGAAAACAAAGGTGTTAGAATCTAGATTAATCTTGTGTTGTTGTAGTAATGTGCTCATTTCTCTATCTATGTATCCATTAGGTCTTTATTTGGAGAATGGTTCATTCTAGGTGACATAGGAAGTCCTTTGTAGAGTTCCCAAAGTCAAGACGGCTAAGTGGAAAGCTTTTGGAAAAATAAATTTTTGACTTCGTCCACCTAGGGGACGGCTTCTGAATTAAGTTGCAAAGTCTCCTGCTCTTGTTCAACTAGTTCTTTCATAACAATTTTAAGTCTTTTGAAGAAGAAATCATGGATTGACCATGGTGTCTTATATCTAACCATGTTGGATCAAATATATGAGTCATTCATCATCCATGATCGATAATCTAATGGTGGGAAGGGTTTCTTTATATCCTTGTACCTTACCAATGAAATTCATTTACCTCCTTATCCTTTTATATGGTGGAGTTATCAGTAAGCTTGCTCGTTGCAACCTTTAATCAACAGTTTCCTCAAAACATCCACCATTCAAGCCTATCAGAAAACACAATAATGAATCATCCTGTATTTATCCTCTCAAGGTTTTCACTCTCCCGAAAGGTTTGCCATTTAATAACATTGAAAACTGCATCTTTGCTGGTACGACTTCCACTTATGCCATGTTTCATGAAACCACATCAAGGAAATGCCAGAAAGTAAGAAAAATTTTCTGCCATATGAACCAGATGAAGATCATCTGTGAGCCACACACGAACAATGTCGGAGGGGATATTTTTCTGGCAACTATTTTGTGCCAAATAGAGACAAGTGGGTGGGGAAAGTTCTTCTAAATGCCTCAAACACTGATTTACCATTAGAATTTGCTATTCCTTACTTTCTCTCCCTCTCTCCCTGATTTGGAGACAACTTCACCCCTCCAAATGGCTAAACTTGTGAAGTGCCGGATTTGCAACAAACAGAGGAATCCTAGTCAAAATTCCTTCTTTAAATCTCTTTCAAAAAAGAATCAAAGCACTCTAAACTATTCAGACACTAGGACTGGTCGTTTTCAACTCTACTTAGAAAGAAAATTTCTTAAAGAGGTGAAGTTTTTCCTTTTGGACTCTTCATTTAGGGAGCCTTACTGGACGAATGTGTTCTGTTCTAGTTAAGAACACAACTATATATGGTTGGTATCATCGTTTTTTCGCCTGGTCTGCGTTCAAATATTGCACTAAACTCCTTTCATTAGCATTATAATGATATTTTATGGTATGTATCTTAGCTTAAAATACTACGCATGGTTGCTTTCCACTTGGAAAAAGTTGCCTTGTACATGGTCGCTGATTTTGCCTGTTTTTGTCCAGTTAATACAGGGCATGGAAAGCCATACGGTGGGCTTTGCTTTCACTCTCTCGTTAGCCAGCTCAATGATCTGGTACGGGGTTGCCTGTTTAATTTGTATTATAATAAGCATATATTATTATGACTGTTTCAGAATCAAACTCGCAAGTTGGGACTTCATGTAATGCAATCAAACTGCTTATCCGGTGATATTATATGTGTGGTAACTTCTATTATATTTATGATCTAAGGCCTGTTTGGTTTTGTGTTTTCATTTTGAAAGAACTATATAGACGACAATGGAACAATATGGTCCTAGAGATGAACTGTCATTCTCGATCCTATGATTTTTTCTATTACTTTCCTTGTTGCCTCATTTATTTGAATAATTAGGATGGAGGCCACAGAATCATTGTTTGAAGATTTGAATTCTTTGTCTGCAAATGAATAATTTTAATCTATTTTTTAAGTTCTTAATTAAAGAAAAAATTGTGTGTGTTATACTAAGTTGTCCATTTGAAACTTTAAACAAAGTGTCGAGTATTACTGCCAGGAAAGAGCAAGCTGGGTCTATGAGAACTAGGCTTGATTTTTAATTAGTTGTGAGGTTCATAGTCATCACCAGAGTCAACGTCATGGAACATTTTTTTTTTTATCATTATGTATTGTTTTATTATGATAATAACATTTATTTGTTGGATGTAAGAGAAATGTCTTCATCATTAGGTGATTCTTCATTGGTTTCTTCTGCAATTCAATATGAACACCATGTGCCTTTTCTTGCTATCTTATAGAGAATTGGAAGAATCGAATAATTACTCTACATGTTGCCCTTTAAATTGGAGAATAATATGTCGGTGATTTTTACAATAGGTCTCGGGTAACTTGTTCATCGATGAATTTAGGTGAAAAGGACGAGTCAAAATCTTAATTAGTTAGGTTTTGGGTATGAATATAGTTAGATATATGTAGATTATGTGATGAGTAAATCATATCGAATTTTAAGAAATGTCATTTGCTAAGTTGCTTGAAATGATGGTTTGACATCATATCAACAAGATTGACTTGACTCGAGTTGCTTACCATAAGTCACTTAAGCAAATTATAATGTCGAGTTCTTCAATATTGGTCATATCGATAATGTCACGTCATCATTTAACATGTTCAATTAACATTCTTTAATTCTAATTTCTTTGTTATCGTTTAATCTAGTATAAACCACTCTCCTTGTTCCCTCTCTATTACTCTTACTTTGCATATTTACGATCTTAAATTGAATTATTTGTATTTAAAAAATTCATCTTTTAAATTGTATAACTAAAATAATAATAGCGGCCTAGAAATATCAAAAGGGATAAAGTATTTTTTGTTTTTTTTAAAAGAATAGTGCACCAAGTGTATGCTATAAATAAAATTAAGGTTTCAATTAAAAAATATTAGTTGAGCTATGATCCCGTTAAAATTATTATTTTAATAAAACGTTAAATATAATATTTTCGAAAACTTAAATATAGTTAGTTGCAGACATTTTTATGATTTAACATAAGATTATTTTTGTGTGCATTAATCCTAATTGACATTTGTTATTTGAATATGATGTTTTGGTGTAAAGTCTAAACCCTAATGTTTTTTCTTCTCCGAGTATCATATTGTATAATAATCAAATACAATATCCCTCTTGGATTATTAAACATTATATACTTTTTCACGAATGTCTCATGCTATAGTTTATTATGCCATCACATTCAAAGTTTCTTTAAAATAAAGGGTTTTCAGGCCAACATGGAATCGAATCATATGAGCAATTGTTTACGAGGATAATTGAGCTGACTTATAAACACTCGGGAATATTTTAAGATAGGTTAAATGAATAATTTATATCTAAAATTTTCAGATTTGTATCAAATAAATCACTAAATTATTTACTGAGTTATTGGACACAAAATTAAAAGATTGAGGTTATATTATACCCAATTAAAATTTATTTCTAATATATTTGTTAATTGAAGTAAGAAATTATAATTTAACCCTGAAATCGTTCCAACTCCGTATTCGTTTGGAGCTAATTAAACTTGTAGTTTAACTCTATAAGGCATTTAAACTTCGTATTTCTTAGGGTTAAACTAGTAATTTAACCCTAAAAGCGCTATAATTTCATATTTTTTAGAACTAAACTTATAATTTAATTTTAAAAACTTTCTCGACATCATATTTGTTAAATAAAGAGGGAGGAGAAAATGCAAAAAGGTGGGAGATTCTCTAAATTATTCACGAGTTATTGAACACAAAATTAAAAGATTGATGTCATATTATACCCTATTAAAATTTATTTCTAATATATTTGTTAATTTAAGTAAGAAATCATAATTTAACTCTGAAATTATTCCAACTCCATATTCGTTTGGAGCTAATTAAACTTGTAGTTTAACTCTATAAGACGTTTAAATTTTGTATTTCTTAGGGTTAAACTAGTAATTTAGCTCTAAAAGTAATGTTTAGAAAGTTGACTTTGAAGAACAGCTGCTGTCCCCATGGAGGATTCTTGGATCTGGGTTTTGTTAAACAATAAAAAAGATGTGTTTTTTTTTAGAACCCCAATGAGATTTTGGCGTTAAAAAAACAGGGGAAAATCCATGTGAGTGAGAGAGTCCATAAAGGCAGCCTTAGGGTTTGGGTTTGCCTTTTCTTGGAAGACACCTCTTGTTTGTTTGGTTGGTTTGGTTGGTTTGACTTTGGAGAGATGGTGCTGTGAGCTTAGCTCATGTGAACATCCCACCGACAAACAACGTTGGTTTCTGTGTTTTCTTTTCATGGATTCAAAGCACGCCACACCATTTCCTTCTGTTTTTGTTCTTCTGTTCACTTGTTGTAACAGCACAATTGCATAGGTTATTGTCTCTCCGTCCACCCCTTACGTATCACCGACAACTTTATAGTTTTAAAACGCGTTTATTAGGAAGAAGTTTTCACATGTTTATAAGGAATGTTTAGTTCCCCTCTTTAACTACCGTGGGATCTCATAATCCACCTTCTTTGGAGCCTAACGTCCTCGGTGTCTCCAACCAATGTCGAATCTCACAGTCCACCTATTTTGGGGTCCAGCGTCTTTGTACACCGCCCAGGCGTCCTCGGTCTCTCCAACCAATGTGGGATCTCACAATCCACCTCCCTTCAGGGCCAGCGTCCTCGTTGGCACACCACCCCAATGTCCTCGGTCTCTCCAACCAATTTGGGATCTCACAATCCTCCTCCCTTCGAGCCAGCGTCATCACTGACACACTGCCTTATATCTAGTAAGAGGCCAACGCGATACTATTTATACCAGTTCAAGCCACTTTGACCCGTTACATATCAGCATTAGCCTCACGGTATTTAAAACGCGTCTACTAGAGAGAGGTTTTCACACCCTTATAAAAAATATTTCGTTCCTCTCTCCAACCGACGTGGATCACAACAAATCCTTACTTTACAACATTTCATGATTAAAAAGCCTTTCTTAGTTATGTTTTGCTTGAATTTGGTATCAGCTACCTCCTCTTCATGGTAATATTGAGCAAAATATGAACAATAAGTATGGGGAGCACCAAAAAGGAGAATCATTACTAGAAAATATGGAGTTTTCAACAATAAAAAAAACAAGACCAGTTCTTGTCTGGGTTAAAACAAAGGAGCAGAGCAGCAGCTGAGCTGCATATCAAGCTGCAACTGATCAAAATTTGGGCTTTCCCATAGGCAACAAATGAATAGCCAAAAAAGAAACACCAAACAGAACATATGGTTCAACTGTACAATGTAGGAAAGAATTTCCCTTTCCCGACATTCTAATATTGTCGTTTCTTCGAGAATCTGCTTCGAGAATTTGCGAGTATGGTTAGTCTTCGTGCTGTCCTCATAAACTTGCTGCGAAAATGAGAAATCAAACGTCGTAAGAACTCGGAATTTAACAGTCTCTTTTAGACCACATAATCAGATGAATGATAATGAGGATTTACCTGAAAGGCTCATCTCCAGCTTGCTTTGTAGCACCAAGAGCATCCTGATAAAGAACAGAATTCAGCATCTCTGACCGTCCTACGCTAAACATGTTGCCGAGCTTTCTATACAATTCTTCGTACGATCCAAGGACCGACAGGTCGAGTGTGTGACTGACATTCTCCAACTCCATAAACACCTCGCAATGACCAATGTCCAAGCTTAGACCAGTTTTGTTTGGACCGTTGTATGACGTAGACCCTCCATCTGATGAATTGTCCAGTGAACCGTTCTGCTGTGATGACAAGCCAGAACCATCAGAAAGATTCGACGCTTTCTCTAGATTTGCATCGGATGCGTTCGTCGTATCGCCAGAGGAGCTGTTAGAACTCTGTTGATTAGGAAGAATGAGTTGGCCAAACAATATGATATGATCTGGTTTTGTTTCTTTGCTTTCTTTTGAGCTTTGGATATGATTTCCCACTGTTAGCCAATGAGATTGATTATCAGGGCTTTTCGTGCCTCCGAAGCTATCCTCGCCACGGACGACAGGGATCGGAGTGGCACCTTCAAGGTGCTTAAGACTGGCGGGAAACTGTCCCAAAGGCGGTATGCTGATTTGGAGGTTGGATGAAGAGAGTCCAAATTGAGTATGCCTGGCTCCCTGTATGCCTGCAGGAATGTTGCTCGCCGTAATGCTTTGAAACGGGTTGGTTGCTTCGAAGAAATTAGTCGAAAACGATGGCATCGGAAGGTGACCAAATACAGCAGTTTCGGCCGGAAGCGGATAACGTGGCTTCTTTCTTGGTGGCAAGAAGGGGGAGACATGGATTGCTGGCATGTTTACTACCACTTCAACCAACCAGGGGTTAACACTCTTCACATTTTGTAGTAAATCTGGCTCATCCCATGACACCTACAAGAACAATGAGACATCACAAACTTTAGCAGCAAGAACATCAAATGAAGCAAGTGAAGTGATCTTCCGAGGCTTACGAAATAAACTAACCTGCAGCATTCGCCATGGAGAATCAGGCCACCGAACAGGATCGGCAACCTGGATCGAAGATATCGTTCCCATAAACCAGCTTATCCGAGACGAATCCTCGGTTTCAAAAGGCATCTTAAATCTCATAGCAGAATACCAATGAATTTGCATGGCAGATCTTACAGTAGAGGCCCTAACAACAAATTCTGGAGTGCCAGCACATGGGTAGTACACAATCTCGAAGCGCTTGCCACTGGCAGCAAGCGTTGCAGCTTCGATGACGGATTCAACCTTCACTCTCCCGTTAAGGTTCCCGTTTGAGTGTCGTCTTACCATTCTACCTTCATTTTCCCTCATGAAATCAGAATACCCCATAAGTGAAGAGCCTGAATTTGCAGGGTTCCACCCAGGTGAGTAATCAATTCCGCAACCAATTCCCCTCTTGGCTCGCCTAACTCCGACACAAAGATCACCCGTTTCAGCCCGGAGGAAAACAATCGAGTCCCCTGCAACAAGCTTCTTCTGATTCACAAAATTACTCCACCCCGTCGTCAAAAGATGGCGACGGGGAGTCCCTCTGTATATATGTCTAAACTTCCAAATCTCTCCATGAACATCCTTGGCAAGAATGGTCTGAACAGGAGGTTCTGCCGAGTAATCCAACGGAGGAAAGATAGTCTCGGCACAATAGCGAGGAACAGAGAATCCTCCACCATTGTTCGCATCAGATTGCGTCAATGTCTTGGCAAAGGAAGACGGTTTCTCCTGGTTCCTAATATCATCGTGTCCAAGAAGCTCGTCGTCGTCATCCAAATTGAATTCATTGTTCCTCAATGGAAGCAAACTTATCTTAGCAAAAATCTCATCCGTTTCAAGATCTGCCATATATTTAGTAGCAGACACCCTACAAGGAATGAGTGAAGGAATCCGAGCGTTCCCAAAATCGACATTCCCCTGAGCATGCTCGGCGTGGCCCTGGGGAAAGTAGACTACCTTAGAGTTAACAGAAGGCATTTGAACCATCCCACCAGCACAAGCATGCCATAGCTGAGAATCTAAACACTTCTCAACGTTCCTCATTGGTTCTATCACTGAATCCATTCCTCTATTCATAATCCAAACCAAAAATCCTTAATGATTCTCAATCAAAATCCTCACAGATAAATGAATTGAACAAACCAGATGAACAGCAATCAATCACCCTCCGATGAACATCACACAAATTGGGGAAAACAAAAAACCTTAAAACAACAAAAACTCCTGCAAACAAAAGAAAAGAACACTCAAAAGCTGAATAGATATCAGAAATCAGCCACAGAAGCAAACATTTATTCATCTAAATGAGTCAAATAAGAAACAGATATCCACGAACAGGAAAACAAAACAATAAATTACAAACCAATACATAAATTCCTCATACCTTTTATCCTAAATCGAAAGTTGACCGTCGAAATTGACAATCGCAGCCGAAGAAACTTCAGTGAACTACCAAACTCAAATTCGCTTCGCTGTTATGAACACAGAACTGAGATTCCGAACAAACCTCACTCCGATTCTTCAACAATTAATCAAATCCTTCCCGTAAATCACAAATTGAGGACGAAAAAGAAGGAACAATTCAGTAATTCTTACAATCTTGGTGCAAAATCCCCAAACAATACGACAAAAGAATTTGCCCCAATCTTCCACAAACCAACAGAGAAATGAAAATTCTCGCAGTAAGAAACAGATCAAACGTGTGAAATCTGAAGAACAAACAACAGAAATTTGTGGCGAGCAAGAGAGAGAGAGTTTGTAACAGAGTTGCTTCCTCCTTCACTAACACACGCCTGAAACTCTTCCTCCTTCGCCGACCTCACTTTAATTGCCAGTGACAAAGTGAGAGATTTATTTATAATCTCTCCTGTCATTTTTTTCCCTTTTTTCTTTTTTTTTTTTTAGTTCATTTAATTTATTTAATCCAACACCGCTTTTTTTTTTTTTTTTTTT